TAGAAAGAACTGTCATGAAGAGTCAAGGTTTGCACCATCATTTAGAACTTTCAACTCGGGACAGAGAGAAGTATGTGTATGTGATGAGAACACTGATGTTTATTATTTACGTTTTTGAGCTCGATTGTGAATGGACATTCCGAAATAATTCCACTTATTGTTATAATGACAATAATAATGATTTATATTCATATAAACATAAATTTACATGAAAATGCATGCCATTTTTACAGGCACGATCAAGTATGTTATAATGTCAAATCTTAAATTGTCTACAAGTTAATAATGTTTCAACAGTTAAATATTTGATACATATATATAATTACACTCATTGTCTGAACCAGGCCGTATAGTTATTGAATTGTACAGTTGTCCTCCAGGTTGAGCGGGAAAATCGACTTCGTTTCGTTTTCATCCCGTGGTTGTAGGCATACGATAACCAACCAATATTGAGGTAAGTACAACGTTTACAAGGGATTGAAAGCTGTTTCAGAAAAGTTAAAGTGTTAAGGTGAATCATCAAAGTGTAATAAATTAAGTAAGTGCAATATATCGTGAATAAATACATTTATACAGGAAACAGAATTGGGAAGTAATTACGGGATTCGTGAAATTTTTTATATCTTCTGTGCCATTTCCTAGCCTTGACAACATAATCTTCTGGTGAAATTTAATTTTTCACATTTTAATCTGGTCATTGGATATTGAATGACCTAAGGGGCATTATACTTTAAACACATCAGTTGTTATCGACAAGTGGTTAGAAGCGTGTTTTCTCCCGTGGAATTCTCTCCAAAGGGGACTAAAATTTTGGTAGTTATTCATTTATTTGCTGATGGTAATCCATGTAGTACAGATGACTAAACCCCCTCAGTAGATTTTAGATCGCATAGTCCTATTATGTTTTGGGCAAAGTTCAGCAATACCTAAGCCTACTATAATTCTGAATCAAATCTCAGTAATTCTGAAATAATTCTAGCATCCTATAGTGAGTAAATTCTGAATTTGTTCTGAAATGGATTGTTTAATGGCACAGACTAGAACTCAGTGCTAGTTTTCAGCATAACTAGCGCTAATTCAGCATCGTATTCTTTTTTAAGCGTTGTCAGTAGATCAGAACCCACTGGGTTTGCTTATCAGCTTTATTTCAGCCCTTTCAGATCGTATTCAGAACTGACTCGCATTACTTTAATAATAATAATTTTTATTTCTGTAACAGAAACCAGCCATTTTTACAGGCATGAACATATGTACACTTACGAAAACTTATAGAATATATAATATGATTTGCTAATTTAGAAATAAGTTGAATACTGGTAAATGTGAGAAAAACATTTAAAATGAAGTGTACAAATAAGGAAATAGATATAGCGTGAAATCTAAACTATGACTGAAAAAAAATACATGTCAATTTCACGCGGAAATCATAAATGATTGCGTTAGTTGGGAAGGTAAGTAGCATATCTGTACAGGTGCTGACGTGATACGTAAGAGATGCAGAATAAACAATAATTATCAGTAAATCATTCAGAAAGAGTTTTAAAGTCTATTAAACTTTAAATTCGCCTGTAAGTACATCATATTTGTGACATTTCCAGTTGTTTATGAGACCCACTATGAACTTGTCAGCAGATTATATAGTACCGATGATCCCGTTATTCACCAGGTGAGCTAGCAATATCACGAATAAGTAGAGAATTGCAGCGCTGTATCAGTATCTTCGTTGAAAGCAGTATCTTTGAAAAGAGAAGAAGACACAAGAAAACCGGCAGACAGGTGCAGAAGTATATAAAAGGTGTTAATAATTCAAAATATATAACAGCCATAGGGTTCATCATTCTTTTATTGTTATTTCTAAGAAATATTATTTCCCCGATATTCTACAGCCTTTTCTGCGAACAATCAGCTTGAGTAAAAGGCAGGTGATAATTTCACCTTTTTATGTAGGTTGAAAAGGAGTTAAACACAAAAGTCAAGGTGCGTGAACTATGTAAAAGAAAAGCGAGGGCCTAGTAATATATGTTTTTCTGAAGTATACAGTTCGGTGTCCTTCTGAAGTAGCGGACTTATACCATTTACTTTCATTCGGGAGTTTGCATTTAAACTTCGGCTCTAGGCAATTTTCAACTTCTATTTCTTTTTTCATTATTTTTTTTAGTTTTTACTTTTTTATTTATACTCATTTTGCAGAAGCCATCCGAACTCAGGAGCCTTAGCAATAGAGTGCTGTCCCACAGATAAGGGTGGTTCACATATGTCCCCACCATCATATCCGCTGACTAGCAGTCACCACCCTCCCACTTTTTTTGTGCAAGGCCCTGGCGGAATGCTTCATTTTTTTTAAATTATTTATTTTTATTTTTTTAAATTTCTGTTGCAAAATGCCACAAACTTTTTGTTTTCCAAATATTCATTCGTCGACTTACTCAAATTTATGGTATGAATGACTACTTTCAGAAGAATATCATGTATGTTTCATGCTAGCTGATCAGTAGATATGGTGGTGGTCACTAAGGTGAATCGCCCCATTCTGCAGGAACAGCAATACGCAATTTGAAGGCTCGAGATATTTCTGATTTTTATGAGGGCTTAGATCTCTATCTTGAAAAAGAGAATAGTGAACGCCTTGACAGATCATGCTTCTACCTTTAAATATATACCATTCACCCAGCCTTTTGTTGAGATGCGACCACGTGGGATCTGCACCGATTTATGGGGCATCTTATAAATTAACTTGCTATCCATTGTCAGATCTTTAAATACCACTTCACAATGTCTTGTCGCACTTATTTTCTAATAACGCCTTTACTTGATCCTCATTATATTCCATTAAACCTAACATTTTATAGCTCTCTATGAATTTGATTCGACTTATTCTATTCCTATTCTCTGAAGAGTACGGTTGTGCACCAAATAGAAAAAAAGACATGAAATAAAAACAACTGGCTTGAAAAATAATTGTATTAAAGCCAAAAGTGGACATCATGATAGTGCAAAATATATTGGTTTTATTATACATTGCAAATGAACGTTGTCGGCCTAAGGATTAATTACTTCCCCATTCTGTTTTCTATATAAATGTGTTTATTAATGATATATTTCACTCACTTAATCTATTACACTTTAATGTTTCACCTTAGCACTTTAACTTTTCTAAAACAGCTTTCAATCCCTTGTAAACGTTGTACTTACCTCAATATTGGTTGGTTATCGTATGCCTACAACCACGGGATGAAAACGAAACGAAGTCGATTTTCCCGCTCAACCTGGAGGACAACTGTACAATTCAATAACTATACGGCCTGGTTCAGACAATGAGTGTAATTATATATATGTATCAAATATTTAACTGTTGAAACATTATTAACTTGTAGACAATTTAAGATTTGACATTATAACATACTTGATCGTGCCTGTAAAAATGGCATGCATTTTCATGTAAATTTATGTTTATATGAAAATAAATTATTATTATCTTTTACAGCATTTTGGAGACGAAAAATGTAAGGAAGAAAGGCTATCTGAGTCTTTATTTTAGATATAAACAAATGTAGTTTAGAAAATCAGGGAATAGTCGTGCAGCATTGAGCAGATAAGTAGTGGTAAGTTATAATATGTTGTTCAAGAAAATTTGAACATACAGGATTATAGTAATAGAACGAAAAGACTTCTACTTATTATCATCGCCTGTGCCCCACGCCCGCGAAATTCATTTAGTTTACAGAAAGAAATCAGTTTTTATAATTGAGAGACTTTTGTATTCATAAACTGTAGTACAATATCACTGAAATCCCGTCAAGTGCGATCCACTGGTGGCATCCTGCAAATAAGCAAAATAAAATTTTGTGGGTGAAAAATTGTGCTCAGCACATTCTAAGCGTTTACATTTATAAAAGTTTACTTACATAAGTGCCACTGTTATATCCCCTGGTAGCTTTTCTCATTTGCCTAAAAATGAAAACAGTGTTGTGATTACTACATGTTGAATGAACATTCACTTATAAAAGTAAGCACGCGCTTCGCAGTATTACCTGAATTCCTTGCTTCCACTTTCGCCTTTGGACACGATCTTTCAAATTATGAAAGTACGATTTCGTGGCCCTATGCATCATGTCACCAATCTCTCTCGTCGTCATTAGTTGGCCGGAGAGGTGCGACATAATTAAAGCTACAGAAATAATTAATTCATTAATAATAATAATAATAGTATATTCTCATTTTGTACATGAGAGACGCCAGTTTACAGGCATCATCAATATGATGAATTACATATACGATTAGCGATCATAATTAATAATAATGTTTTAATAAAATACACATTTTTTCCTACTTGTGTAGGACACACCAAATATACAGGCATGGGTAAGCATTATTTAAATTTCATAAATTTGGTTGATGGTTAAGTTATATGGTTGCTGGCGTTTTTGTCTTAGGTCTGTGGGAACAATATGATAACCAGTCATTCAATGGAGCACGTCATGAAATATATGAATATTAACTTCGCATTAACAAAAAAACCCAAGTAAGTTTTGGATGGATTAAAAATACTTGGGAAAAATAAAGCTTGATTATTCCACATATAACAAGTCATTCAATGGAGCACATCATGAAATATAGGAATATTAACTTCGCATTAACAAAAAAACCCAAGTATGTTTTGGATGGATTAAAAACACTTGGGAAAAAATAAAGCTTGAAGTAATTCCTCAATATAACTTGGGTGTGTACAAATCCGAATCTTATTTTTGATTTATATCCAAATTGGGTAATAAGGAAGCTATTTTACAGATACGATCAGTTATGTTATAAGCTACAATCGTGACGTTGTATTACAAATACATACTTTTCCATTGGTATAAGAGTATATTCCACAAATGTAATCCAGGTTGCGTCGTGGAGAAAGTTAATTCGTTATTAACCAGGCAACTGAAAGATACGGGACCAATAATGTTTGCAGATCATTTGTCATTGTAAATGGCCAAATATCCACATTATTCATTCTCATTCAAAAAGTCAAATGGAAGCTGAAATGGTGAGAGAAAAAAGAAGACAAACAACAGCAACGCAAAAGAAAGCAAGAGGAGTCCTTAAGGAGTGATTAATAAATATATACATATATATTCTGTTTTGTAACTATGCTTATTTTTGTTCATTAACTAACTAGTCCCGTTACGCTAACTTTTATAGTATGTCTGATCTAATATTACTGTCCTGTGTAGAAATGTTAATCATCTAGTTCCAATAATATTAAAATTTATAATTGTAGTTTTTTGTAACCACACGTTTAGTGAACTTAAAATATCTATGTAGGGTGAAAAAGAAGGTGTAAGAGTCAGATGTAGAAGTACATTGTCATCTTTGAGCAGTCTGGTGACTGAGGAGATGAACACTGGAAGTGTGTTTGCATCGCGCACATTAGCTGGTAGTCTATTCCAAATGACTGAAAACTTATTTAAGAAGAAGTTGTACCGCACGTAAGTCTGACAGTGCTCCATAGCAGCTAGGTTGTGATGATTTCTAAGATTGTAACTGGTGACAGCGGTAGGTTTAGTTATTGGCTCGGAGGAATGCAAGAGAAGATTATTTAGCTTGTAGTAAAAGATAAGGTTTAGCTTAAGACATCTTTTCCAGAGGGGTTCTAATCTTAGTCTTTCGCATCACTCATGGTATTCCAGACCACTTTCTAAACCAAGAGTTCTTGAGGTAAACTGCCGTTGCACTCCCTCTAATTCAAGCTTGTCATTTTGTCTGAGTCCGCTAATAATAATGAAACTTACATCTCATTATTTTATAAAAGGCATAAGGCACAATGCTTGCCTTTGTCAGTCCCCTGGAATGTAAACTTCAAACCCACTTCAGGTTTTAGAACATGGTGCATCATGACCTTAAGTGATAACTTTGGACCACTCTGAAGGCAAGTAACCATCTTAGCAGTCTACATGAAATAAGAATTAAGTATGTCAACTCACATATTGCTGTTTGTACTTGTCGTCTCTTAAAGACGCTTCCAGCATCCGTAGCTGGTCTTCATTCTCTATCGGAAACTCCACTGTTATGTCACTGTTTGCTGGAAAGTTGGTTTGCAGTCGAGATTTTTGAAACGCCGTAACAGTGTTCAGGATTTTTGTATTCAAATTGATATTTTCCATCACAGCATCTTTAAATGAATATTTATTTTTAAGTAATTACCGAGTATTTTCTTATTTGTCGATTCTGTGGCATCTTCGTTAGACGGCAATCTGAAGCACGAATAAAAATTTTAACAATTATTCCTACTGGTCACACACACTTGTCTTTTTGCCAATAGGAGATGAAGACTGGAATATGGGGGCACCTGAAGTACCGAAAATGAAGGGCTTTCAATTAGGTTAATACCTTGGAATTGGGGCCACGAAGTCATCAAATATGTTATAATCTGGATAATGCGGTTTTATGCGACCAACCTCACTGGCGGCTACATCAATATCCATAGAGTTATAAAGGAAATTTTTATCATTTTTCTTGGCATCCCTGAAAAATACGTTAGACAGAAAACGGTACCTGCCCTTTCGGTCTCTTACTAGGCATTGTCAACGTATCATCGTTCATGTCTTCCTTTTTGGCGCCTTGATCATTGTTTGCCGAAACCTCTACACACCTTTTACAATTCTCATACGTGTCTAGAAGGGTGACAATGAAATATGCCGACTTACCAAATTCCTTCAGTTAACGGAATTGAAACACTGACCATCCGGCCCCGGTAAACATAGGCTCTAGATGACTTGCTGTGCTGCTGTACGCACATAAACCACTTCGCATAACCCAAGTGTTTGGGATAGCGACTACAGTGTCATCTAGCTAACGGACGACGAGGTATCTGATTGGTGTAGAATTCTGCAAAAGGATATGTAATGTCACATGAACCGTCAATGTCCAGCTATTGCTATGCTGGGACTCACGCCGTCCCTCGAGGATTTTCTGAAACGCTTAGTATTAACCTACGCGAAAATGAAAACACTATTTCGCGACCCGAGAATCCTTTATTCTAACGCCAACAAATAACCAACAATAATGTTATTACACAAGGTCTAGGAATGAATGTTATAACAATAGATCACAATAATGCTTCTGATAATTTTTACTCTTCCTCTGAAAGGCGAACGATGAGACGATGACTGACGGATTGATGTCCCGCGAAAAATATGGAGGAGTTGGGCTTGAGCAAACAACCATGAATTGATCGTTCAATCTTCATCTACATTAACACTGTCCTTAGAAAAACTTGAGCGGCAATATGCAGTAACCAACGCGAAAAAACAGAACACAGATTGGTGACTGGAGAATCCTTTATTCTTGCATTAATATGGAACGAACCATATGGTTATTGTACACAAAGTCTAAATCATGACATATGTGTTTCTGTACACTTTTTACCACGTGTCTGTGGTTTGCACTTTTAGAACATACTCATTTAATCATCTTCTCCAGGATATATCTTTCGTGTACCTGGCTTGTTTCCATCTTTTAGTGGTAGGTATTCGTTCCGCACTCAATTCCTCTACGCCATGGTTGCCTCTCAATAACAATAATTTGTTTTGAGGACCTTTGAAATACTCTTTAAGCTCAGCGTGGCAGCTAACAAAATTAGTCCCTCTGTCACTGAACATCGTCTTCGGTGCACCTCGGCGATTTATAAATCTACGCAATGCTAGAACGAATGAATCAGTAGTAAACGCATGAACCATCTCAATATACACAGCTCTCATTTTCAAACAGGTGAATAAACAGCCATATCTTTTACATAGGGTTCTGCCTCTCTTCACCACAAAAGGTCCGAAAAATCCAATCCGACATGCTCGAATGGATAATTCCCTTCAGAAGCTTGCCACGCTGGGAGTGGTGCCATCATCTGCTGTGCTGAGCGAGCATTCCTTAGTTTACATTCCATGCACTTATTAATTATTTTACGGACAGCAGCACCTCTTTTCACCATCCAAAATTTACATCGAATACTTGATAGTACTTGTGAAGAACCCAAATGACCTTCGAAAACATGGTGGTGTCTTATAATGAGATTAGTGACTGGATGGTAGCAAGGTGTTAGGGCTGGATGACGGGTCTCATGTGACGATTCTAACATTTGTAGACGTCCTTCAACTCTAGCGATCCCTTCCGAAACTATCGGAGATAATCTAGCTACCTTCACCTTGGAATCTGTGAAATCGGAAATATCCTCCTTGGCAATCTTAACCCCCGCTTTCCACCTAGCAGGCCTCAAAACCACTAACTCCGCATTTCTAATATCTTCAACTCTCAAAGGCCCCACACGCATATTTTCGTATCCCGCAAGATTCACGACCTTTAAATACGTAACATATCGTGCCAACCACGCAACAGCCTTCAGTACTTTGTACCAAGAAGAAGAATAGTTAAAATGTGGATGTAAACCCGGATGTCTTTCTTGAGTAGATGTTGATCTGACATTAGTTTTAAACTCCAAAACACTCACTTATCGGTGGTTCATTTTCTCTACTAGGGCCACATACCATCAGCTCGTAGCAAGAACTCTGGATTCTTCCACCACCTATTCTCAACCACATTCATATCAATAACTCCTCGCGGGGCTAGATCGGCTGAATTTTTTCCAGATGGTACGTGCCTTCACTGCTCGACGGTTGTTAGTTCACGAATTTGAGATAATCTGTTAGCTACAAAACATACACATCTTGCTGACTCGTTGCGCATATAATATATCACAGGCATCGAATCAGTCCAAAACTTTACAGGATACTTGGGATAATCTAACTTCTAACAGACCGTTGTGAATAACTGAGCAGCTAGCAAGGCTGCAGTGAGTTCTAATCTCGGAATCAAAACCGACCTAAGAGGTGCAACCCTATATTTACCCATCACTAGGCGGCCATCTCCATCATCCCTTAAGGTGGTTCTGATGTAGACGCTGCTCCAAATCCAAACTAAGAGACATCAGAAAAACATGGAAGTCAATTATATCGTGATTTCTCGATGGCTTAAGTGGACGTGAGACGGAATGTAGATCCAGCGTTCTTAAATCGTTAACCCGCTGTCGGATAACTCGCATAAACTGTCAATGTTCAGCTCTTACTACGCTGGACTTCACTCTGTCCCTGCAAGTCTTTTAGAAACACTTCGTATTAACCAACGCGAAAACCGGAACACAGATCGGCGACTCGAGAATCCTTTATTCTTCCGCCAGTATGTAGCCAACAATAAGGTTATTATACACAAGGTCGATAACCAGGCGCGCTTTTTGATTAATGAGCCACATTTTGCTTAGATACATAAAACTCTCATTTCTTTGTTGTTTCTCACCACGGAGTTCTGGAAATTATTGCAATCCGTTTACTTTCGAACACTAAACTAGTGGATATAATATTGTTGACTACTGATACTTATAACAAAGTGTTTGACATTTTGTGACCTTTTAACACTAACTCATATCTGTAATTGTATATATTGTTGTATTTATATGTTCAAGTTGGCCCAAGTCAGTGAGTCCTTGGTTTCGGTATCATTTTAGCTAACTGTGCTTAACTGTATTGCATGTTGTTGTATTGTATCGTTGTTGTCGCTTTTTGCCCTTTTTGCTGTGAATTGTTTTCCTTTTGCTGGTGTTGTTCTGATTGTTTTATCCCTTGTTTTCCGACTTTAAGGGGAGCAACCCAAAAGGTCGCTTCTCTCCAAACTTTATCTTAATGTAACAATTCCTCTCTCAGGCGTGAGGCAAGCGACCCCACCCTGCAAACAAAAATGCTACAGAAACTTCAGCAAAATGAATCTCTTTGCCCCAAAACAAAAATTCTGTGTGGGGACACGGAACGTCCGCACTATGTACGAGATTGTCAAAGCTACCCAGATCGCAAAGGAGATGAAAAGATACGGAATCCATGTACTGGGAATATGTGAAAGCAGATGTAACGGGGATGGACTCATCAAATTGTCAACGGGTGAGTCAGTGATCTACTCCGGTCATCCAAAAGATAACCACACGCACACCGAAGGCATGGCTCTCATGATGTCACCAACGGCAACAAAGGCCCCGATGCAATGGGAGGCGATCTCGTCCAGGATAATGACCGCCAGATTCAACTCCAAAGGAAGAAAGGTGTCAATTATACAATGTTATGCACCCACAAACAACACAGACCTCGAAAAGAAAGAATTCTACAGACAACTACAGGCAGCAGTGGACAATACTCCAGCTAATGGCATTAAAATTCTAATGGACACTCTCTGACGGTACGCTCGAAATTTGTGACATTTCTGCACGTGTTTGCTCTGAAATTTATTTACTTATTGTCATATAATCTCTGAAATTATGGTCCAAATCTCTAAAAAAACGTGTTCTTAGAAACACAGTTGTTTTAGATAGTGGCTCAAATTCGCTAATAACTGTATTACCGCCCGGTAATACAGTATCAACTACTAGCTCTCAAAATGGTTGAAGTGCAGATCTCACTCCTGCAATACAGGTGAAAGATGTTCTGTTAGAGAGCTCTGAGTTCCGTAAATTAATCCTCTCTTTGAAAGATATCCAGAGGCAAGTAAGTGAACTTCAGGAAAAATTTGATCGGTTTGACAGTATGTCACCGCCAATCTCAGATACCACGGAGAGCCGTTCTGATATCGGCCAGGTTAAGTCTTTACTGGATGTAATTCAAAACAAGCTTTCGGATTTACACCCAATAGCCTGTCTGTTAAAACAACATCCTAAAATATCCCCAGACAACCTGAATAAAGCTGAAAATCTGATTGACTGCTTGGCTACGGAGGTGATGGAGCGTATAACCTCTTCTCACAAAGCTATAGTTTACAACGTCCCAGATTCTCTGCCCCTGAAGACTGTAATACACAAAATCCTGATTTGTTGCGGCATGGCTAGTGTTCCATGTGAATGCGAAAGACTTCGAAAAAAGTCTAACCAGGCTAATTGTCCTATCGTTTTCAAATTCAGTAATTCCCTTGATGCCAGTAAGTTTACTAAATATCAGGACCAATTAAGACTGAATAGCAGTTATAAGTCTATAACCGTAGCTCAGGATAAAACACCGTTTCAGCGTAGAATAATGCGTAGTAACAACCCGGTCACCTCCTCTAGCTTTGATTTACCAAAAAAGGATCGTGCACAGCAACAGACACCTAGTGCTGAAACTAGCATTCAGCAAACTACACAACAACCACGCTTGCCAATGGAACTGGGAACTGATTTAGATACCGGTACCCCTGTAAATAAAGCCTCATCGAAAGATGTTAAAATAGCTAGAACTTCTGCAAGTTGTTCTAAGAAATTTCCCCCCAAACGTAGTAACGATGAACAAATTTCGCATGATTGAGACTAATGATGGGGAAGAATACTTTGTATTCAGTAGGCCTGCTGAGAATAAGAATGTCAACAAACCATCACTTGTTACGAAAAACTCCTCTCGAAACATAAGTATTTCTGGAGGTTTTCCGCATGCTCCACCTTATAAAAAGTCAGGCTCCAAGACTCCTAAAGTCTTGCAACCAAAGCACCTTCCTTCACAATTTCCTCTAAGTTATATAAACAGCACGAAGGTGTCTACCGGTATGACGAATAGTAGTTGGATGGGTAGACCTTTTGATACTATGCTTTTTAACCGTCAACCTAGGCCCAACCTCTACTACCCTTATATGCAGGAACAAGTGGTAGATTTTCCAGGTATCCCGAATCACTGGTACGACCCATAGCACCTAGGACAACCTCATTGCACTCCATCCCCGATGTACAGACACCCAGTCCGACCCCCCTTTCATTCATAAACTCTTGCGGTGCTGACGCACAAATCGATTTAGGTTATGGTGACATTTTAAGCCAGTTTGTAGTATCCCGTAACTTATTCATGACGTTACTAATTAATGCACGTTCCTTAATCAATAAGATATCTGAACTAAGGACATTATTATTAATCGCCAAGCCTACTCCAGCTCTGATTACGGAATCATGATGCTCATCCTCTGTACCTGATGTGCATATAGGTATTGATGATTACACTGTACACCGTTCAAATAGAGATTGCAAGCGTGGTGGAGGATGTCTCATATATATACATAGCTCATTTGTAGTCAGTAAGGTGGAAGATGAAATACTAAATAAGGTACCTGACTCACTCTGGGTTGTCTTACACGGAGATAAGTACAAACTGCCCATAGGCTGTGTTTATCGAGCACCAAGCGCAACAAA